ATCAATGTTGCAGCACCTTATCCGCGAGGACCAATCTCAAGATTTCCTTCTCGCTTTGTTCATATTTACGACGCACATGTGTGGCACTTACGTCCGCATTTCCGACCAGTCACGGACTAGAGGCTCGCAACTTCAGGCGTTGGCGGCGGGACCATGCTTCGCGAGACGAGAGGTTGATTTTCCTAACTAGCTGCACTACGCGCAGAAGAACGATGGAGAGCGCCAAAGCGCACAGCACTCCGAGCCCCCTCTGCTAGAATCCCAAGAAAGTCATCTTTGTGAAGCGATGAACAACTTGGTGGCCACTGTTTGTTACTCATGGCATCCTACAACGGCAGTGAAGGGGCATTCCCGTACCTATGGCGTTAAGAAGTTGCAGAGTCCTAGGCATGCTGCTTGACCACCCGGAGTGCTGATCAGCGGGATGCAGCTGTAGCACACAGGTGTAAACCATGCCATGGCGGTTGCAACAAACACAGGAGTGGATGCGCCACAAAAGCTTGCCAATGCCGCAGGAGTGCCCATGCAGGCAGTTTGACACGCTAGAAAGCCGATCACCAAAGCATCTACTCCAGGCAAGAGATTACACAACAAGAAGTGGTGCAGCTTTGAGAGATGCATCCTAGTCGTCATGCAGGCAGAACGTTCTTTCTAAAGGGAGTACCGAAATTAGCGTCATCCTCAGCCAGCCAATTGAAAGTACTTCCAAGATTTGAAAGGGTCACGTGGGGGGAACGGCATCGGCGACGAGACTCCGGTTGTCTCAGGGATTCGAAAAGAGATTACAACTTACATCGATTAAATGAGGCGAGATATCAACGTTGATCTGTTGAACTTGATTTCTGGATGTGATCAGATGTGGGAGGTAGAAGTTTTCACGGAAGAAAGTGGCAAAGGAATCATTGATATAAGTCGTGATTCAAAGTTAGCCCCGACCGTAGAAAGCAGCACTTACATCCACCACCACGTTCGCTGGATGTTCGAGGCTCCTGGTGTCTTGGAGGGCACTTGACCTCAGGCACCTTATGCAATGTTGAGTTTGGAAAACTGCTAGACAATTTGAACTCACGATCGCATAAGCTGCGTAAAGCAAGAGGCACACCCAACCTCCGGCAGCAAGTTCTGAAAAAAGACTGCTCTTGACAGCCTCATCCCACAGAGGCTCCGTCTTGTTGACTTCGTCCGTGGGATTCAGGGACAAAAGTTTGAACAAACTCAATTGAAGTCCCAGCGTCAGGAATCTGATGTGCATGGACATCAGCAACCAAACCTTGTATCCAAATGGCGTACCTAACTTCCGGCAATCACTCGATACCCCTCTCTGCATGATGTCAGGCGTGTGAATTGTACCCAACTTCTGGCACCTATTATCCGACGAGCACGTCATTGGTTGTGTTGAAGGAGAAAACGGTGTCGGTCTGCTCGTTGCAGTATTTTTCTGGAGGCATAAACACAACACCGGCTTCCTCCCTGATTTTGGCCCACAGCCAGAGTTCTGGAAAACACCTTCTGCTCCTCAATCTCGGGACCCAAATGCCTCGAAACACCAGCTACACGGAGGACGACCTCCAGAATGCCATTATTGCTGTCCGAAAAGGCCTGTCGCAAATGGAGGCGCAGAGGCTATACGGTGTTCCCCGGCAGACGTTGCAAAGTAGGCGACGCGGTGCAGTCTGTATGGCCGCCGCCAAAACACGATATCAACGCCTCACTCCACGTCAGGAAGAACTAGTCTGTGATTGGATCCGATATGAAAAATATTCGGGTTGGCGACCATCGAATGACAGAATCAAGGCATTTGCCTGCACACTGCTCCCTGTCGAAGATTCGCGTAAACTCGGCAAGAACTGGTTACGGGGCTTTTTTAGCCGTCATCCGGAAATCAAGAGAATATATTCTAGCTCAGGTCTCGTTTCCTCTGCGTTGCTTAGCGAGAACGATTCGTCTCTCTACTGGAGGAAGGCAGTACATTTGCAGCGTTGAATTTTCGACTCAGCCAGGAGCGACACTCGTTGGATCTCACCTTCCAAGTTTGATTATCAGGTAGCGCCACAGACGAATCACATCCTCAAATGCTCAATGATGCACTTCAAAGATGGCGATCCCAATAATGGCGGACGAATTCTGAGGAAGGCATTTCTCACCCTTGAGCATGAATTGTCTGAGGGGAGCTTGACTGTCGTTCAAGATGTCTCTCTGAACATCTTTGGGATCACGCTCTCATACAACCACCCGCAAATCGGATTACTCGTGCTTCAACATTGTAGGGATCTGTTCGAACGAAAATATGTAAACCGCCTGTACGGCGTCTTCTTCGATTGTCTGACGCATGTCTTTTGCCAAGACCAAGCACAATCGGAGTACTACCTTTCGCAACTGTCTATGCTCTATGCCATCGAGCTTGACAATGTTCGGTCATGCAACGACCGCAGCTCCATACACGCAAACCGTCGCTATCGTCTGATAACACGAGCTTCTAAGAACAAAGCTGCAGCACAGGATTTTGAAGAAATGCAAAGTCGATTGGAGCGTCTTCTGGCTAAGGCCACCTCGGAGCTTGGGCCTCTTCATGACAAGACCTTGCGAATCCTCAATGAGGCTCTACGCATGCAAAACTATGTTCATAAATACGACGGCAACTACATTCAAAGGATTAATCAGGCAAAGAAAGATCTGAAAAACAAATATGCGTCTACTCCTTTTGAGAGCTGGGAGCAGTTCCATCAATCCGCGAACCTTCGCTTACTGGAACGCGAGTTTGAGTATCACAAAGATCACATAGATCACAAAGATCACAAAGACCACGAACATCTGGATAAGGCAGAAGCAGCAGCAAAGCGTATATTTAAGCTTGAGAAGTACCAGACCGAGCGTTGGATAGTATTTTCTATGCAGTTCGAGTCTTGGCTCCATCAAATAGAACAGGAGAAAATGTGTGCGCGTTTCAAGGAACAGCGGCTGAGGTCAGTGTATTATCGCAAGCTCAAAGCAGAATCTCCATCGGAGTAGTGATCACGGCCGTTGAAAACACTGCATTTGGTCAGACATGAGTCCGCTTCGATGCGTCCGGCGTAGTGATGCATAGATATTTTGGCATACCCGCAGTCACTGCCCGACATTGCTTCTCTGCGTACCGGTTCTGTCAGGGTAAAAGGTCTTTGATTTGCAAATTGACTCACTCTGATTCCGGCATGATTTGCTGGTGAAGCAGTACTTCCACTATGTAAGAAGTGGCAACGAAGACTCGACGAGTCACATCGCGACATCGCGTGATACATCTTGCTGCGTAACTCCTGCCATATGAGAAGTTTCGGATTTTGCAAGAATTGGCGCCGAGAAGACGCACATCCTTATCGTCTGCTATACGACGAGCAGGACAGTGTAGCAAGCAGGCGTGTTGGGACACTGTTGACCGAAAGAAAAATCTCCCACACCTCCCAGTAGAGAGAAACAATGGCATGCAGAATGCATGGTACAATATCGATATCTCGCCAGAACCCAACCGTCTATAATACGACCATGCTTCTGTTGGCTCATCACGCGTCAGTGGGCCCGACCCTCGTAGCCGCTTCCTCCGCTTCACGCTGCTCAGCGGCAATTCTTCGCACCTTCATTCAATGGGCTACGTTACCGATGTTGGGTTTCCTTTCGCCAGGAGCCTTGATCTCTTCCATTTTCTGCTCGAACCATTGTTCACAGCGTTCGGGGGGCCAGTGGATGCGCGGGTCGAATCTTATGTAGAATGTTCTTCATGTTTCCTTCATATCCCTAATGGTGCCGACGAAGTTAGGTCTGGTGCAAATCAAGACCCCGTGGGGTGGTGGAAGAGCATTAGGTTGGCCGTAGATCTTAGCACCGAATCTTCCCTCATCAGACGTACGACAAAGCTCAACCCGGCGCTCTTCGTAGGTTGACTTCTTAGAGCCGGTATTTCTGTTCAGCCATTCGCGATCGGATGGGACGAGGGCGTGATGATGCTGACTGGCGACATTGGATGCCGCACCATCAATACGGCCGATGCGCAAAGGAGTAATGGTCACATCGTCGGGAGTGTCTTTGTACTGTACGTGCTAGGCTACGAAAGCTGGCCGATGTTTATTTCCTAGGTATGAGAGAACTGTTTCCAAGAATCTTCATTACCATCTCAATGTCCCCTGAAAATACTCCATCGCTTCCATCTCGACCTGTTGACTTCACTGACAACTTGCTGCCCTTCTCCAACTCCGTTGTCCGTCTGCGCTTGTTCGGCACAAGCTGCGTCAGTGGACGCCGAGGCGGCGTCAACAGCTGCGCCCTTTCAAAATCGATTATCATGACCCCTCCAACTTCCTCATTAAACAACATGTTTTCCTCCCGCATGTCTCTGTGCACAACACCCTGGTAATGGATCGCACGCAACGACCGCATCGCCATCTCTTCTAGGTGCCCATTTCTACCATCTACACTACCTGTCGAGTAGAGATCATGTCCTCCCCACGACAGAAATGTCATGTGCACCACGTAAACTCGGTGGTCGTAGTAATAGATCCTGTTCAGCGGCCGGAGGTCGATCGCCCCAAGAAACACAGGCACATGTTTGCCTTGGATAGGCCGTAGACGCTCGTAAACCGCTGCCTCCTGCTCAAGGTCTTCGATGAATGCCCGTACTGTACCCTTGCTGACGAAGGTGTAGCCGTACGCAAGCAGGCTTATTTTGAACAAGACTCCTCGCGCGCCGCCTTGTCCCAAAGGTGTTACACCGTCGTCTAGTGTCCGCTCCAGCTGCTCTCCGAGAACCTTCACGAATCTAGTATGGTCGATTGGGTGACGAGTTTCTGCGCGGCCACTGCCGTGGTTGTGGCGGCGGTCATCGCTCGGCTTCCTGCCGTGAAGGAGAATGTTCGGGCACTTTGGGTCCAGGACGCCGTCTCTAACGAGCCCTAGCAAGCATTTCTGCGTGCAGTACGACCTATGTCTATTCTTGCCTGCCCCCCCTTCGCCACCACCTCGCGGCCAAAGCGCTAGAAGTCGCTCACTGCGTCGGGTTCCTTCACTATCCTGACCGCCCTGGCTCTGAGGGTTCCTTCCGCGAGCCCGCCTTTCCGTAGGCGTGGGTGTGGCTGGCATGTTCCATCTCGACTCGTCATCTGATGATTCATTCGGGTCCTTCGTGACTTGCTCCCTTGTAGGCCGGTCCCTCGCATGTCCTCGCCTTGTCTTTCGGCGCAGGCACGGAGATCTGTCGACATTCTCGTAGGCCTTTGGTTCGTATCCCGGCGAGCTCTCCGGTGGCTGCCTTTCACCATCCGGAACGGACCGCAGCGTCGTCTCGAAGTCTTCCGCCCACGTCTTTAGATTGTCCATAGCTTCACGCCGCTCATCCTGCCCATGTGGCGATCGTTCGCCTGGCATACTCAGAGCAATCAGACTGAAGGCCAGATACTGGGCGACTGCCGTACAGAGGTGGGCATGCTCGGGGTGAGCTTCCGCCTCCGCAGACGGCTCTGCAAGATGATAGAAGAGTGTCTCGGGCTCGCGCCAGTCAATCATCAAGAAGACGATTGCCTCGCCCGTCGTCAGCAAGCCGTGCTCGAGTCCGCCTTCGATCATGTAGTGATAGGTCTGTGTGATGGCGGCGGCTGTGAGTCTCTCTGCATGATACTGGAACCGCGCGTCCGGGTCGACTGACGTGGGGATTGTTTTTCGGTTGACCACCTCTTTGTATATGTTCATCGGGCGCAGACCGAGGCGAAGATGCGGCGCGGTAAGTTTATGCGGGGGCTTGTATTCGGAAACGTAGAGCATCGTGCGACTTTCCGAGTCGGCGGTTTCCGAGCGGTAGACACAGATCTGATCGGCTCGCAGCTGTTTGAGGTCGATCTTGCTCTGATGCGGTGTAGAGGGGGGTGTCGATGGGACATTGCGGTTGATGACCTCCTCGGCTGTGTCACTGATCGCATGCGGGTGGTTCTCGAAGACGATGCCGTTTCCTAGATCGAACGCGCTTTTTACTTCTTCCACCTTCTTGAGCTAGTCCTGTTGTGCAGGAAGTACTCGAGGGCCTTCTCGTCGGTGATTTTGCGCCTGGCGATTCTGCTCCCCAAACCGGACAGGAACGATCGGCTCTCGAAACAGCGTCGATCGGAGGGAAAAGTGTCGTAGAGGGTGCCGAAGACGATGCGCTGTTGCTGCAGGAAGTCGGGCCATGGCTGGAGATTGGTCGGGCACCACTTGTGGCGCGGGTTTGTGATGGAACCCTTGGATGTCAGTCTATGGTCGGTTTCGACGGTGAATTTGCTGTAAACGAGGGAATGGCAGGCGGTGATGTATTCGTCGAGCGAGGTAGGTTGGATTTGTTGCTCTGCCTCGTCGGCGCGCCGTTGTTCTGCCTCGGCGCGTTGTTGTTCTGCCTCGGCGCATTGTCGTTCTGCCTCGGCGCGTTCTTCGGCTTGTTGCAGAAGCCTACTCAATTCCTCAACGCTTCTCGATTCGCCCATAGTGCTTGTAGTTGATATCCTGATGACAGCCGATCTTCCAAGCTGTTCTTCAACGACGGGTGAGAGAAAGCGTGGGTTTTAAGCGTCGCCAACCCTTTAGAGTGGATCCTTTTGCGTTGCTACGGGCTACGCTACCTATGCAGAGGGGGGGTTCAATGCACAAGGCACGTTCCTGACATCAGAGTCGTGGCCCGTGCATGCTGAATAGGCTCACGCTGATCATTCCCTCATCCAACATCGATCACCGGTCGCGAGAGCCAACAGACCATCACCAGCGCTGGCGAAGGTTGTGAGTCCGACTGACTCTGGCCAGTATTGTGCATATGTCGCTTCCTCTTTTGAACGTAAACACTCTCAATATTTGAACAGTCAAAAACTGCTGTGATGGGCCCCTTGCAAACCTCTCCGCCAAATCAAAGCCACCAATCGATGCAGTTATGATGGAAGACATGTCCGCATCCCAGCCGCTTTTTGTTAGCTGGCTGATCCAACGGCCCGAGACAAATGGTACACTCGGAGTCTTCGACGACGATCTCGGCTGCAACAGAAGAGCTGGCTCGCAGCCGCTTCAGGAGCTCTTGAGTATGTCTCCATCTGGCGAGCAATGCCAAGCAGCCACTGCGGTTCGCAACGCCTCCAAGCCGCCGCGCCCGGGGATGCCGGAACGTGACCGCCCGAAGCCGTTGCTGCCGCCTGTCACCTCGGCCGACCTGTACGCCACCCCTCCACCCTAGCCGGGGTAGCCACACCCGGAGTCTTCACTGGCTTTCCGCGGAAGCTCCGACAATCGAAGCGTTCGTTGGAAGGGCAGGCAGCCCTTACCAGGGTCGCCGGGGCCAATCCCCAACCCCCAACTCTGGAGACGAGTGCAGGGATTCACTCGAGGCCCGGAGCAAAACCCACTCCCTCGATTCGCGGGCTCAGTGATGCCCCACATGATGTACCCAGCACATCTTGTGAAGTACCAGACGCTCAATGCCAACCCAACAGCGCTACTCAGCTTGCGGCCTGGGGCGCTTGGTAACTCCACCCCTCTCTCACAGGCCCATCGGCGGTGTCCTCTCAATGGCAGTCACGCATCGTGGAGTCGCTTCTACAGGTCCGCCTCAAGATGATGTCCAGAACATAAGACCGAAGGTCGCCTCAGCTGCTACTGTAGGAGTTTGAAAATGGCAAGACTGCTCACCTACGAATTCGGCTGGCGGTTGTAATCGGCAGCCAAAAGCAGCCGAGGCTGAATAATTGAGATGTTTGTTGCTATGAGCCACAGGACGAAGCAGCATAAGCAGTCGTCACTATGAGTCTGTTCTTTTCGATCACTATTTCCTTTCACAAACGAGCATAAACTGTGCGTTATCTAAAATAACCCGCAGAACAATGACCGCAGCTATTTCTAGATCTTGCAGCCAGGTATCGCTAGTCCACGCGACATGTACCGCTGCGTGGATGTTTCCTGCTTCGTCAGCAACATAATCCATTGACGGCTTTGGTTCCAAAAACTTGGAAAGTCGGAAACCGGAAACCGATTTCGGTCGCAACTGTCTAATAACCGTCAGAATGGAACCACCTTCGCCCAAGAGGCGGGATAGAACTAACGAAATCTTCTGACGAGGGAGCCAAGAACATTATAGGGCGATGTGTTCAGATATGTCGGCGGTATGTACAGCATTGTGCATACATAATTCAATGTATCAATTATTTAGGTGTCGTGGCGATTTGGTAAACTCCGCCCTGCCCAATACCTCTGATTGTACACGAGAGTCGCCGTGTAAGTCGACCTCACTTTTGTCCAGCTTCCCAAATTCCAGCTATTGAGACAATCTGTCTTCTGGGTTTTCACTCTTGCAATTTCTTCTCTTGAATCTCGTCGTCGCTTACTCTTCAGCCGTTTCATTCTGTTTCCTTTGCCGCCGCTGGAGGCATACCGGTGTACGTTGGTGCTTCTGGGTCTCACGAAATCCTCCATGACAGACTCAACAGTCTTCGTGGGGGATGACCGAGGCACAGAAAGGAGCAGGAAAGCCGA